TTAGGATTGTAATTTCAATTAGAAGAGGAGTTTTAATTAGGTTGTTTGAATTTTGATATTGCATGCGATTGAGTTGAGGTTCTGGGAGTCAAAACGACCCTTCTCATACCCTCCCACATCAGATATTTTACTAAGTGACTACCTAGTGATAGGTCTTTATGTTGTTTCATTGTTTGGAATAAAGTGTTTTTCAATATATAACAAGGTACTTACATACTTGTTAAGGTTTTTACTAAAACAAATTATAAAAGTTTAATAACAAATTAAAATTACATTTTTAGGTTCTCACAAATTTCATTTTGAAATCCTATATTATTGTAAAGACCTTATCTGAAGATGTTAAGACAACAATATTGGAACTTTAATACGTTTCACATATATGGTGCATATTAACCAAACATTTAATACATTATTTCTATACTAGATAATTTGATCTTTTTACACACATTTAACTAGGAAAAAAGAGAATTATTTTATCTAGATAACTGTTAGAGTTCAAGTATATATGTAATGAACATAATATGGATTTGTAAGTGTATTTAAGGCTGACAAGATATTCCATAATTCTTAAAGGATTACGATAATTTAACCACAGTGCTTTTACTCTTGTTAGTAGTTATGCCTGATTATAGCCCAACAATAAAGATATGAATTACAGAATAGAAAGGTTATCACTTACTATTGCATTTGTTTCTTAGCAAAACTTATGTGGTCGTCATAATGCAAACAGAGGTTGAGGTGGAGTTTTAAATTTCAATTCAAAGATTTTGGCTTTAGACAGGTTAATATTAGTCACACCAAGTAATGATAGACAACTAATAATGTGTAAAGCAAATATAATAAACCCTTTTTTTACTTATGAAAATATTTTATAAGTATTATGATATCTCAAAATTTCAATTTGCTTGACAACATCTACTAGCATAAAGATGTTCCCCACGGACTAACAACATTGTAGAGTAGTTTTTGTTGGATTTATATATTTTTAATGTATTGAAATTGTAATTAATATGGTATCATACTTCCTTGTAATTATCATTGCATGAAAATCTTTGGTTATAGTAATATAAATCATTATAATGTAGAAGAACAAAAATGTCAAAAATATACATTGTAACTACAATATACTTATGATATCCCCACACGCACTTAACTGGCCAAAACACCTAAAAATGCTTTTAGGTATCTAAAATATATAAATTTGACACATTTTGTGGGGTTGAAGCAAAATAATTCAAAATTTTTGTTTGATTAACATTTAACGAAATAGATTATTTCATAACCGTACTTGAATTAGTCTGATCAAATCTTTGTAGATCTAATTTTTCATTAAAACTTAAATATGTCAAAATAATGTGATAATGATTTTTAGATCATGCATTAACTTACATAAAATAAAAAATAAAACAAGTCTTACATTTATATGACTTTCATTGCTGATTGTCAAACCCCTTAATGAAGAAAGCCTAGAGAATATGAAATCTCCGTTAACTTCTCTTCCTTCACTTAAAAAGCTCTACAGTAGTTACCACATTTAGTATCTTTTACTAAAAATTATATTTATACAAAATGTTTCATGGAAACCATTTGTATAAGGTTACATTCCGTTGACAAAGGTTTCTTTAGTAATTAACTTAAATCGTCGTTAATAATTACATTACATATTATTATTTGTATAAGTTTCACTTTTACTAATAGATGGATTTTGGTTAGTAAAAATTTAACTACTCAAACAATTTCTTTATTTATCTCCTTTCCAATTCTTCAGTTTATATATATATGTATATATAAATTCAGTACCTAATAAAATTTATGTAGCCCAACTATATTTAATCTTATGGCTTATTAGCCTATTAGCCCATTTCTTTTAAAAATAAACTTACCCTAAGTTTGTCTTCAGCTTTTCTTCATCATCTCAGCAGGCTGCGGCTTCTCATTGTTCGTCCATGGCGCAACTTCTCATCGTTCGCCGATGGTGGCAGCTTCCTTCATTGTCCGAGGTTGCACTCTCATCTTCAACTTTCCTTCATCGTCACCTTGTCCTCCTTCATTTCCCTTCTTCATACCCGCGCCTCCTCCTGCTTCATTTTTCTTCTTCACCGCTGCGCCATAGAGGTTTATTCACTCTCCTTATCTCGTCAACACCATCTCCTTCTTCATCTATTCCCGTTTTTCACGCAGATTTTCCTATTTGCGTGAGAAAACATAGATAAATGAAATTAGGGTTTCGAGGTTTACATCATGATTTTATTAGTTCTACAATCATAAAAAATTTTGTTTTTATGATTTCTTTTCTCTATTTTTTTAGCATTTTCTTCAGTTCCTTTATTTTTATGATATTTTTTTATGAGATTTCAGCTGAATCTGGATTGTAGCTTGGTTCCGTAGAGGAGCTGGTGTCCAGATCAAATGAGAGAGAAAATGTGAGGTTGTTAACTGTAAGGAAGATCTGTCTAATGCCGAGGACTATCACCGTCGGCATAAAGTGTGTGAACTTCACAGCAAAGCCACTAAAGCAGTCGTTTGGAAGTAGATGCAGAGGTTCTGTCCGCAATTCACCAGGTACCTTTTTCTTCCTTCAATATTGTCTTTCTTTATACGAATTTTTTACTTCAATTTGTTTTGCTTTTTTTTCTGTTTTAATCTTAGGTAGTGGAGTCTATTTGAGATGTTAGAACGCCCATATCTTTGATCATTTTAGTCTATTATAGTTTATGTTGGCAAAATGTATACTTTTTACTAATTCAAATACAAAAGATAAACCCATGGGGAAAATAGCTTTAGTAAACTGATGTTTAAGGTTACTTTGTCTGAAAAAATGTGGGGCATTTCTTTTGCTTGTGTGCCCAGGATTGCATCCTTATGGTGTCTTTTGTCAAGAATAGTTTTTTTCCTCTATTGAGAAAGGGCCTTAGTTGATGATTTTGTTGGAATCTACAAAATGTTTTGCGTTCTTCCATGGGATTTTTGCTTGCCGCCGTATGTAAGGCTTTTTGGTAAGACCTTTTTCAAGAAAAATGTTTATTGTTAATTAGCGTCTTTCGTTATAAAAGAGGTTCTAGTTCAAGTAATTTAAATGAACTAAAACCGCCAAATTCATATCCTAACCCCTTCTCTCCTCTCCAAGAGTGTTTTGGATATTTGTTCCCTGTGATCTTTTCTTTACTCAACTTATTTCTTTACTAGGTTTCTTATGTTTGTGGGTTGAGTTAGTATTAGAAGTTCAAATTGAGTTAATGTGCCTTCATTGAATATTTTAATGAACTATTAAATCTATTTAATTCTTTGCCGTTGTAAATTGAAGCTTTTTTTCTGGGTCTTTCTTTATAATATATATTGAATTAGCAATCAGGTGTGGCACTTCCAGAGAATTGTAATTATTGGGTGTCTAACATTCCTTTTCAATTCAGATTTATATAGTTAGAAAAGTCATAGCAACTTGTCTATTCTTTTACTAATTTGACAGTTTGTCCTTAACCCCCATGTCTGGTTGTTATTGATTGAGCTTTTTGGTTTAAGGGATGATTGAAAGTGAGTTGATGGCAATTGATTTCCTTTTACCGTGCCAAGTTTTGTTTTGTACTGTGCCATTTCTTTTTCTTTTCTTTAGAATCTGATTCCTTTTTTATATTTCCTTTAGTAATTAATTGAAATCTTATTTGCGTTTCAAATATATCCTCTATATTGAGGTGACCATGTATGTGCAAATGCAAATGGGACCTTTTTAGGAGGAAGGTTCTCCACTTTGGGATATATTTCCTTTGGCTCTTTGTTCATGAGTTATAAATAGAAATTTAATTTCTCATGAATTTACCTATTCATATTGGCTGGAATAATTACTTTTTTTATAGTTTCTAATTACTTGGTATACACTACAAGACGTGTGTATATTATTTTCAAATCCTTTTCCTCTGTAAATAGACAGTTTAATTGGTGTCTATTTCTACCAGAAATATTGCGTTGGTGGAAAGTCTGTTGTAAGTAGCAAAGAGGACCTTCTAGAACATGAGGAAGAAAACATGAACTTTCCAAGGTAAAGATTGCATTTTATGGTAAGTTAAAGAAACATAATAGGCCTAAGTGATAGAGAAAATTTGGGTCACATGACTCATGTTCAAAGAGTTGAATAAAGGACATAATTTTCCATCTAATATCAAACAGTATTCACATGAGAAATGCAAGTATTAGCAAGTCATTGGGAATGGAAATCATTTTGGGAGTCAATTGCATCCAACCAAGTATCCTGTCCTACCATCAACCAGTGCATGTAGGAGCATTGGTTGTTCATTTTCTGGATGAATACTTTTTTCCCTCCTTTATGGACTGTATATTTTTAGTGACATGCAATATTCGTTAATAAATAATGTTTAATGGTGTTTTATGGCAGGTATGAGTGCGTCCATAGGATCATGATTCTAAGCGAAGAATACCCATGGCCTGGTGAAATTTTGGTTCATAAAGAACTATATCTCTCCTCAGTTTAAGGTTATAATGACCAAGTCATTATCTTTTATTGGTTCTTGCTCTAGTGACCAAGTCATTATTGTGGGGGAATGTCAAATCTTAAGTGAAAAGTATTAGATTTATTTAGTTCTTGGCTCATCCTTAGCCCTAAATATTGGAATAAACTTTTCTTGTATATTTTTTCCAAAAATAAAAGGATGAGGTTCCTTGGTAGTATTGGTGTAGCCCTTCATGGGGCAATTCTCCTGCCATTTTGCTGGTTATAGATCTTGTTAGTGGGATTGCTCGAGGAAGACACATCTATAACCGACTCCTAGTCCAATGAAGATCCTTATTCATATAGAGCCTCTTGACTCTCGGGTTATGGTACCAAAATTCACTAATTGTTAATATTCCATTGAAATATCAATATATAATTTCATTTTTCAAGTTACATACATTTATCCATGTCTTGACGCCTCTCTTTGTCGGGACTGATGTACTTCCTTCAGACTTCTTTTTTTAGTCTTATGTCTTGTCATTTTCTATTTAAAACACTAACAAAGAAACAAAAACCTCATTAAAATGGAGGCAAAATGCAAACATAACTTTTTCTACACACGATGCTAAAACAAAGATAATCTAATGATGAAGACTAATGATCTTTAGTTAAAGGAAAGTTGTACAAAAGTGCAGGGAAAGGAAGAGCCAAAACTTAGTTTTGATGACGTCAAAATGGGTAAAACCTAGCTTTTGGTATGATGGGTGCACCACTTCAACTAGTGTACCTCAGCCACATGGTTTATATGTGCTAGCCTTAGGCCACATGTGGCACCACCTATTTATAAAACCTTTTTAATTAGGAATAGGAAAAAGTAAAAATCAGAATTGATTCCCAAACTATAAAAATGCCTAATGGAAAAAGATCCTAGTGGGGAAGTGACATGAGATTCCTACGCTAACAAGTAATAAAGTAATGAGTAAATGTCATTCTTAATGAGCATTGATTTTGATGTGGCTTATAATTAACTATACTTTATTTGAGATACCAAATGGTGAGATTGGTTTATTAACTATTTATTCTGTGGAAACAAATAAAGTAAATCCTAATTTACAGAGAGCTTTATTGAGTGCTTTCCATGCATTAAAGAAGATTGGCGAATTAGTTTCACACACTTCAATTATAAAGTTTGTTTTCTTTTTATATTGCATGTGATGGTGGGATCCCTATCCTATAATTATCTAATTAACTATTCAGCTTGAGATTTGATTATCCATACTTTCATGTTAGTTCATCCTATATACACTAACTTCTATGTATTTGTTATAATTAAGTGTTCCCTCTCGGTTAAGGCTTAAGGGAGTCATATCAAACTTCCTAGGAGCTGGCCACGCTCCTAATCTTTTTCACTTTATGGTTTAGAGCTCACTTGAACAATGCATAACTTTCTTTTTTCTTGATTTTCCCATCCAAGGACCATCTATGAAGTCCAATGTTGTTACGGTATATATACACATACATACTAGTAATTGAAACTTATAAAGAGATAATCATGTTGTCATTACATTTGTTGGGTCCTCATCTTACATCGTTGTTAAGGTAATAATTATGACATATAAAGAAGAATGGAGAGAGCGACATAAAGCGTAGTGGAAAGATAAGGATTATGATTTTAAGCTTTTGTATAAATTGAAAGTGATATTTTCAACCACTAAGAGAGATTTGTTCCGTGATCCATAAGGCATCTACGTCATCCCTCCCTTTTTAACTCCTTATCTAACTTGGAAATTTTTGGCAGCCGCTGCCATGTCAACTTCCCCTACTTTTTCTTTTCCTAGCTACACCCTTTTTTTTCTGTGGGTACGTCCAAAGTTACCAATAAAGAAGCTCATCTATTGTAACTTAAACTTTTTGGGTGCTTCATCATTTATAATAATAATCATGATGAATGAACTCAATTCACCCAAATATCTAAAGACTTGAATTTAATTCTTTTTAAATTATATTAAGCGAAGGTTTGAATTCGAATGTTTATTTAAGACTGAACAAAGAGAGCTGAAATTCCAATAAATTTAAAATGTACAAAGTGGAGTTTGATAAATTCAATAAAAACCTTGGTGTACATTTTTATTAATTAATTTTATTTTAATATTTTACAAATATATTTAATATATCAATTATAGTATATATATGAAAAAATAAATTTTAATTTTAATTTGACTTAATCAATTAAAATAATTATTTTTTTCATAAAATTTAACTTAGAAGGTAATCGAATAAACTTTGATCAAACTAAATACAAACCATATTCAAAAATTTATTGAGTGCCCCGACCACCACTTATCTACCGTTCCAATTTTGCAAAACAAAAAAATTACTCTACAATTAAATATTTATTTAAGCAATCAAATAATTATAGAAAAAAATATAAGTATAACAAAATTCTAAAATAAAAAATAAATATATATGGGGTACATAAAAAAAAAAAAAAAAAAAAAATGAAGCCTATTAAGAACGAAAGAGAGATAAAAAGGTCAAAAGAGGCTGGTGCACGAACTTGATCACGAGATGTGGGTCCCATAATAACGCGTACCCACACAATGTGGGACCATGCAGAAACAGAAAAGGGCTGGCAGAAAGGCTTTTTTTTCCCACGTGGTAAACATGAGTGGTGCTTTTTCTCTTTTGCCTTCAAACTTCCAAAAGGATTATTCAAATGTTAATTACTAACTTGCCACTAAAGCTACTCCTTCCTCCGCGTCACATGTTCGTCCAGATTCAATATATTCTTTTTGTTCCCACTCAGTGGATATGGCAAATTTTCATCCTCCTCTTATGTAATATCTACATATTATATATATATATATATATTTATATATACAAATCATTATGATCATACTTTATATTCATGATAATATATATAATATAAAATGTTAGTGATTTATTCTTTTATTCCATCCAAAAATATATACAAGAGAAATGCGTTCTCGTTTTTTTTTTTTTTTGTTAGTCAAATACACTGTAAGTATCTAATATTTAAATATTTAGATAAAAATATAATTAATGATCCAATATTAGTACACTGTTAAAATGTTAATTTTCATGTTATTTTGTGGTTGTGAATTTTAAAAATATTATTAAATTATTTATTTATTAAAAATATTTTTAGTCAAAAATTATTACCTTTTTTATAAAAATAGTTGTGCAAAGTATTATTATTTTAATAAAGTAGAAGATATATATTTGGTGAAATTGGTTTATGAGATTTTAAGTGTAAACTTTTATTCAAATCCAAAACAATTTTCTAAAAACTACAAACTGTAGTTTTTGTATTTAAAAACCTATAAAAATAGATTTTTAGCTTTGGTTTTTTTGTCAAAAATCACTTTTCATTTTATTTGTTTGCTTGTAAAAGTATTTATCTTAAATACAAAAGTCAAAGTCAAAAGATATTCGAAACAAGACATTAATATCTCATGTCATGAATATATTATATAATATCACGTTGCCACATTATTAAAGATGTATGATATTTTTTATTTTTTTAAATTATAGTACTTTTTAGAACCTTATTTGATATTCTAAAAAAACTATCGTTTTCAGCATTCTCAAACTCAACTTTCACATAGAAAAGAGAGAAGAGAAGATAAAGAACTTCATGCAATAGCTAACATGTCGAAGCTTTAATACCTTCTTTTGTCTTTGGGTACTAAAAATTTTCTCAAGATCCTTTAATTTAGTCATTAGTCAAACTTAGACCAGAAGTACTTAAAAGGTTTTAGAGTCATATGGATGACCTCCTAAAATGGTATTTTTCACATATTACGAGAGATCTTGTGTTGGTGTTTCATATACACTTAAGAGGTCCTTCAAGTTTTTGCTTTAAGAGTGTTTGATATCCTTTGAAATTGGTTTCTGTAGTACCCTGGAACCTTTATGCTTAATTGTTGTGTAAAACCTTTAATTATTCAAGCTTTAAAGCCATTAACTTTTTAAATTTATGTTTTCGATTTTCATATGAAACCGAATTTGAAATTTAAATTTTATATTTGTGAAACTATTAAATTATTTATTTATTTCATGTATTTGTTATTTATTTTATTTTGCTTATTTTCATTAATTTTAAAATTTTCAAGAAAAATAAAAAATGAAAAAACGACAGAGAAATCCTACAGAAACGGCCAAAAGAAATTTTTCCCTATCCAAGCGAGTCCTGCGAGCCGTGCACACGCGCATGCATGTCCCATCCGTGCAGGGTGCGAAGCATGCAGTCTATGCACAGCTCCGCATGCCTATGCACGTAGGGCATTGGCCAGTGTGTGTAGCAGGCGCCGTCATCGCAATAACAGTCCTGCTTGCGCTGCCCTCAAGAAGTGAACGCCATCCCTTGGGGAGCGTGCATCGCCGTTTGGGAGGCATGCCTATGGTTTTTGTACCATCGTCACGTCGTCATTGTCTCATCGGTCATCTATCAATCGTTGCGTTGCGTTGGTCATTTTTTTCTTTCCCTCTTTCCTCACGGATTTACGCCACTTGATGGAAATCAAATGGTCCCCTTTTTCTATAAATAGAGACCTTCTCCACTACTCCTTCATCACTTCATCTTCAGTCTTCCATTCACCAAAGTAAATTTTAAAGAAAGAGATGGAAAAAATAGAAGGAAGAAGAGTGTAGGAAAGACTTCAAACTTTCGATAAGGAAACTTCGTATTTATTTTGCACATTCCAAGGAATATTTCTAGATTAATAAAATAAATATTTCATAAATATGAGATAACTTGTTACATGTTTAATTATTGTTATGTTTTAAATATAATTGCATAAATATTCCATGATATTGCAAGATTTGTATTGTTCTAGTAAACATGATGAATATGATGGCATGATAAGTGATAGTGCAAAAAATATGGTGTTATTTAATGAGTATATGGAATGAATATTGATATTTGTATGTATGGTATTTAAATT